AAATGAGGAAATTAAGTTGTTTTGGATATGCAGAAAATATTAAAAATAAATTTAAGGAACCGCAGGAAGGGGGGGGAGGAAGTCAAGTTTTGAAATGTTAAAATGATTGTAAAATTGGTGAAATGTATAAACCTGAAAAGCATAAATATTTTAAAAAAGAAAAAGAACATTTGGGACAGAAACGCCACCTCCCACAGCAAAAACCCATATATGTTTGCATGTGTTGCTTCAGATTTGTTCCTTCCTACTGGGCACTTTAAAAGGAGTTGTTTAAAATTGATACAATAGATGCTTTGGTTTTTTATTATGGGTCGCATACAAAACTTATATTATTATATTATATTTGGGCTGCAAATTGTCATTGGAAGTGATACACAAACAGGTGGTGAGATTACATGAGCTACAAAATTTACAGCTTTTGGAATTGCCTGTGCTGCAAACCAGTTAAGAGAGAGTATAACATTATTTAAGTGAATATTGTGTTCAGTCATCTGTAGGTATACTTTAGTGCTGAGATACAAAGTTTAAAGGGGCCTGCTACGATAGTCTAAGCCTGTGAATGCTTACTGGAAGTCTCCTGTATTTGCTGTTCTTAGTATAAACCCTACTGAATTCAGTGGGACTTCTCAGTTGAAATGTATATGATTTGAATGATGCATGGCTGTTAAACTGCATCAGTTTAAATCCAAGTACAGTACTCTGATTTGAAAGTTTCTGGCAGTGGCAGTAGGTTTGCTTTCTACAGTATTTTTATGCATACTAGGAAGATATAACATGAGTTTATTTTCTTTTTTAAAGGTTCCATCAACAAAGACACAATGCTTGAGTCGTATGTGACTCCTATTCTAATGAGCTATGTGAATCGCTACATTAAGAACTTGAAGCCTTCTGATCTACAGCTATCACTTTGGGGAGGAGATGTCGTTCTTAGCAAGCTTGAGTTAAAACTTGATGTACTTGAACAGGTATGTTGTTCTTTGTGCATAACTCAAATAAATTAATGTAACTTTAAATAAGCTGTCCTCAATTTACTTTGGGTGAATGATACCCTTTTTTAGCATTATTGAGACGTGTATATTCCATGTTTCTCAGGAGTAAAATCATGTGAATTTAGGGTGCAAACGGTGCCTTACTACTCTGGCATACTTTTCTATGTTAATGCATGAAGGTATTATATATATATATATTTCTTCCATGTTTGTGAAGCCTGGTCTCCATTCCTCTCTCAAGGCCCTCCGTTGCTTAGCTCAGGCTGCCTAATTCTATATTGGTGGCATTTCTTTCCCACAAACATCAAGCACCTTTGTACTTACATCTTCTGTCGCTCAGTACGCAAGAAGCCTTGCGGTACAGCACTACAGGCCAATTGAAGTTGTCTTCCTTGCAGTGAGTTGTTTGAAAAGACACACTTTATATTCCCCTGCATATTTCCAGCTGAATCTTGCTAATTTAAGCTGTTTCTCTTCTGAATATTGTGTTGAAAAGATAAAATGGATTTTCTACAGAAAAGACTTGCACAATATAACAAGAGTCTTGTATTGAATGTCTGTAACATCTTGTTTCTGTAACTGATGTTGCATCTTGTTGACTTGGGGAAAATAACTTTGGTTGGGATCCAGTGATGCAGTGTATGTATACCATAGCTGTCAACTTTTCCTTTTTTTAAGGGAAATTCCCTTATTCCAAATAGGATTCCTCACGAGAAAAGGGAAAAGTTGACAGCTATGATGTATACAGGGGAGAACCATACCTGCACCTGTTGCTTGCTTTGGTACAGCAGTTCTGTTGCTGAAGAGGCAAGTTGCAAATCCTCAGATGTGGGTATTGTTGCATCATAACACAGAAATGTAGGTATGACTGTGTGTGGTTCTCCTGCTATGTGTGCAAATCTTGAACATTATGTCTTTCCCCTGGAGCAGTGTTAGAAACTGATATATGAAAGCTAGAAGCTAAATGGCATCTTAAACCTAGGTTATGGGCGCAACAGTGGATTGTCTAGGCAAACTTTTTCATAACAAGAATACAAAGCTGACAATGAATGAACTGAGGCTAAAAACGTATGTTCATTTTTCACATGATCTAGTCCGTATCTGAAGCCTGCAAAAAACAAAGCCATGGTTCCCCTGCCCGTCTCCCTAATAGGGTCTCTTCTCCAGTATTCAGAGAGTGGCTAGAAGTGGGGAGGAAAAAAATGGTCCTCCTTTTCTCCCACTCTGCAGACAAACCCTGGATTCTCCATATGCCCCCTTTCCTTCATATAAATATATCTTTTTTTGGCACCACAAACAACACATATTAAAAGCTTATACAACTGATGGCAGAGACACCCACCTTGATAGTCCAGTTCGCAAACCTAAGACCTATCATATTTTTCCGTGTATAAGACGACCCCTAGATCTCTCGGAAGCCTAGCGAGGAGGAATTTCTCCTCCCACACCCTCAGCGCCAACAGTGGCATTTTTGATCTGAAATCTTAGGTACAGTACTGCACCCAGAGCTCAGAAATTCCCTGACGCAAAACGTGCCTAGAACAATGGGAGTGTTGAACACTGCTCTGGAGAATAAACTCTGTTCGTCAGTGGATATTACTTCTGCCTCACTGTGCATTTTTATAATTGTCCTTTATAATATAAAACACTTGCTTTGGCATACTTTCCTTGTACATTTATCTAATTACTGTTAGGTTTTTTTTTCCTGTTGCCAAGTGTGTTTTTTTTGAGAATTAATTTGATTCAGTGTTGTTGGTCATGTGTTCTGTGTTTTATGATTTTTAGAATTTTATGATTTTTAATTATTTTTTAATACAGAACCATGATAGATAGATAATTTATTATGGTCGGAGACCAGCTTATAAAACACACTTGGGGGGTACAATCCCAGAAGGAAAACAAACATTTAAAACAATGTACAACAGTAAATTTAAAATTTATAAATGTGATAAGCGTATAGATACTTATAAACTATAAGATAAGCTACCGCCGAGAAATGACCCAGAATCACCCATGGAACCGAGTTTGGGGATTTTCTTAACAAACTAGTTTGAATCGGGGGGTGGTCTGCGCCTACAGATCTGTACACAGAATCTGGTGGCCATCCGGGTCGTCTTATGATCTTTGCCTAACAGGAAAAGGTCAAATTTTTGCTTTTCCAGGAGGTCAGTGAGCCTCACCAGCAGGGGATCAATGGTCTCACTACGTACCTCTTCATAAAAGGGACATCTAAAAAATAAGTGCTCTGGACTTCCTATATTCCCCAATGAACAGGTGCAAAGTCTCTGAGCATATGGGACTTTTTTAAAGGATCCTTCCAGGACCAGTCAGGGCAGAACCGAGCTTCTGGCGAATGTAAAAGCCCTTCTTGCATTTTTGGATATGAGAAAGAAGAGATATGCTGCTGGTGTGCGGCTATATATCTCTCGATTTATCTAATTTTATAGTCTGTGCACCTTGAGCAGTCCTGTTGTCTCTCGGTGTCTATGATTCTTTGCCTAACTGTAGCTTTTGCTTGGTCCAACACCAGTCTTAGAAAGGCTTGAGGGGCAAAACCCACTTTCTGAAGGGTGTTCAGGACTGTTGTCTGCCAGCCTGACTGGAACTGGTCGCAGAGGATCAGTGGGGCTATTCCTCAGGGGAGCAGATTCAATGACAGCCATTTGTAGATTGATGTTAGGCAGATATAAGCCTCCACTCTCATCATCCCTGTTTCTAGTCTGACCCATGCGTTTGAAACACATCTAAGGACTTGTAGGAGAGCTCTAACAGAACCACGATACATTTTTATGAGCTAGAAGTTTATAAATGGTCTTATAAATAATATATATATATGTCTACATCATATTCATGTGATTAAAATGAGGATTTTTTTTTATCTCATATGGAAGTAAAAAAGATTAGTAGATGAAAATGACCTTTGTTGATCAATGTTTATGAAGTTTAAAATTGCCACACATTGGTGTATCTGAAACACAATATAAAGAGCTACAGTAGAGCTACATTATAGAAAGGCTTTTGAAATTGAGAAAAGATTCAAGATCAAGTGTCACACATGGTGTGGAGGAGGCTAAGGAGGAGGCTGCTTTTTGAGGAATATGTTCTGTGTTCTAGCATAAACATTAAAATAATAACTTCTGAAGGATTCTCAAATTGCTTGGCTAAATTGAACATATTTCTAGACCTAGAAATGAGTTTTAGAAAGAATGTGGGTATGATGTATCTGTTTAAATTTGCTTGTCATTAAAATGGATGTACACATTTGTTCTATGTAGCATCAATCAACATACTTAATAAAGATAAATTCTAGTGTAAGATGTTGGACTGTATTCTTTTTTGACATATGTATTCTTGGCAATTGCACTTTTGGTCAGCATATTAAAGAAGCTCTCTTCATCTAAACAAAACAGAGCATACAAAACAGATGTTTTGTTTACTCAGGAGTAAGTTATTGTTCAGTGGACTTGCTCTCAAAAAAGTGCATTGGATTGCAGCTTTAAGTGGTGTCTCCTGGGTTGTCAGCTTTTGACATCTGACTTGATTCTACATTTTGACAACTTCACTTTGTTAAGTTGAAAACGTTTGTTGGAAAAAACACCAACCTGTATTTATACAACAAAGAGTGAGTCAGGCAGCTGTCATAAAAGGCAAGCAAGTTGTTTTCAAACTTTCAACAGCTTTCTATTATCCACTTTTATGTTTTCTTCACTTTCTATTCTCTACCCTGATGAAGGCTGAGCTCCTGTGTTTCCTCTTGAAGCATTAGGACAGTGGCATTGAATCTTCTATCTTTTCAAAAGTTGTGAAATCACTGTACACAATAGTAGTAGTTCATGGGAACCTGTATACCTTAAAACCTAGCTTATAAACACAGTGGACCTGAACCTGATCTCGAGAAACAGTTGCACATCTTTCCATAAAAACAGAATTGAACAGTAGCCCCTAAAGTAACTTCTGTTACCTGCACCATGGTGCTATCTCACAAACTGCTGCTGTAATACTGTGCAAGGGAGTTGGTGTGTGTCTGTGTGTGTGTGTGTGTGTACACACACACACACACACACACACACACTGGCCTGTGCATGTGTACACTCACACCCTTGCCTGAATGGTTGCAAGTCTATGTGTAAGAACATATGACCTTGATGGATTATCAGGCAGGTTCCTTCGATATACTCTTTTTGGTGCCTGCTTAAATCATTTTTGTTTAGGCAAGCCTGCCCAGTCCCTAACATATAGATGTTAACATGTTTTTAATTATTTTAACTGGTTTTATGTAGAAGTAGATCCCATTTCTCATTGGCATTGTATCTTGAGTACATGCATGATGATTCCTTGTGCATTCAGCCTCTTGTTACTCAATTCAGCAAACAGCAGTTCATGTATATGCCAGAGTGCTTATGGATCAAGGCAATTTTATGTAGGATCAGAATATAATGTTTCCCCTAGGCTTGGCTAAACAGTAGCTTCTAATGTCTGATGTTAGTGACTTGTCTGGAGTTCCTTTTATATGTCAAAAGTGAACTGCAAATGTCCCGTGCAATTCACAGTGCAACATCCCTTATTCATGACACAGTTGTGGAATAAGGGGCTGACTTGTTATACATTATTGAAACCTATTGGGTGAGCTATCTGGGCCTCACCTGACTCAGATTGTCCTGCCTGAGTATTTGGTGTGGCACCAATCCAGCGGATGGAGGGCGGTTGCTCCTGGGGGGTGGTCTTTAATATTCAAACTGAGTCCACCTTGTTAGGACCACCTCAGAGCTTTATGGCCACCTTAACAATTGTGGGGCTGTCTCAGTATACCATTGACCCAGCACATATTGCATGTCTGACAACTGATCCGGAATTTGCTGCAGAGTGAATTTGGAATGATCCAGTGGCTGTGCAGAGTTTGACCTTATTGTGGGTGGAATCACTCACTGGTGAGGTTTGGATTGGCTGTGGCTGCCTCCCCCTGTGGAGGTGCGGGACCTATTAAGATGGATCTTTGAGCAATAAATCAGCCCAGTTCATGGCTAGGTCTCAGGTGGTACACATCTCAGAGCAGCTACAGCCAGGCAGAGGTAAAGGTGTATAATCATGCCTACCATGTGGCAACATTGAAAACACCTTTTCCTCAACTGTTGCCTCCTCAGTGAACTTTTTTTGGTGGCAAATGGTCTGGTTAAATCATGTTTGGTAATAAGTAAAGGTAAAGGGACCCCTGACCATTAGGTCCAGTCGTGACCGACTTTGTGGTTGCGGCACTCATCTCGCTTTTTTGGCCGAGGGAGCTGGCGTACAGCTTCCGGGTCATGTGGCCAGCATGACTAAGTCGCTTCTGGCGAACCAGAGCAGCACACAGAAACGCCGTTTCCCTTCCCGCCGGAGCGGTACCTATTTATCTACTTGCACTTTGACGTGCTTTCGAACTGCTAGGTTGGCAGGAGCAGGGACCGAGCAACGGGAGCTCACCCCGTTGCGGGGATTCAAACCGCCGACCTTCTGATCGGCAAGTCCTAGGCTCAGTGGTTTAACCCACAGCGCCACCCGCGTCCCTCCATGTTTGGTAGTAAAGACAGATAATTATGGAGGATGCTGAATGCTGTTTGTGCTGACTAGTAAGGAGGAGACAGACTACTGCCGAAGCCATAGGTATATTGTATGAAGCTTTCCAAGGAGGAGCATGATGGAAAGTTGGATTTAATTACCTCTGAAGTTTTATTTTAGTCACTGGAGAGTAGAGCATACAGGAAAAGGTTGCCTCTCTTCTGGGAGGCAGGGTTAAATCTGGAACAAACTGTTAAAGGTGGCAAGACTGACAAAGAGGAAATCTTAGCAGCCTTACAGGCTTCAAGGCCTGTGAGTTTTGTCAGGACCTCGGAAAGAGGAGAGAAACACCAGCTGTGGCATATTGCCACCTTTCTCTTTTGTGTGTGTTCTGTTTCTACTATGGAAAAGGAGTGGGAGATCTTTGCTGTTTATACTTGTGGGCGATGATTCATACCACTCAGGATAAGGTCCTGGATGAGTTGGAGAGAGGGGTGAAAGTTGTTAAGTTGCGCAAAGATCACAAAGTAGAGTGGGGACTTCTTGCTGGGTTTACCCAAGTTATTTTATTAAATTGACATTTGTAATTGCTGCCCTTATTGCAGTTGCTTTGTTTGCATTATCATGGAACTGTTTTGTTTTTTACTGGGCCTATTGATATGATTTTGTAATTGCTGTACATGGTTATATTTTTCTGTATGTCCCTCCTACTTTATTCTTTTGTTTCCGCACTCTTGAATTGAAAATATTCAATGAATAGCAGGTTATAAATATTTCTAATAAAAAGTAAGTCACTCAGAAGCTCATTGTGGTTTATGTAGCACTTTGAAGGCAAAATTGCTCATATTTGCTTCAAACTTGGTGTCATAATTGTAGCAAGCCCATGCTTTTAAAATCTGGAAGGAAGACCCTGCTTTTCCCGTTGATGGGGATGAACCCATGTGCTGATTATACAGGGCAAGGACTACTCTGTGGCAAACGCCCTTTATGTGGAACTCCTTTCCTGGGGATGTTTCGTTGTTCCCTTCCCTTGATGGCTTTCAAATGCCCATGAAAGATGTGCATCTCATCTTTAGCACATGGTTGAGGAAGTGGTGTTATGCTTTTATATTTATACTTTGATACAAAATTTTAATTGATCTTCTAATTATGGTTTTGAATATATTTTTGAATTCTTTTAAGAATTCTGAGCTCCTTCTGGAGGAAGGGTGGCATAGAAATTTGATAATAAGTGTTTATTTGAAGGCAACCTCAGGATCCACTTCCTAGCTTGTGAATTCCTATTCAAGTTTACTGTAAGCCTTTGAGTGTCATGTGTTTGTGTGTGTGTGGTGGATTAGCAGTGTAAGACCATTTCATTCATTCATTTATTTTTGTTGCATTTTAGTGGCCATTGATAATTAGGCAGAGGGTCTTCTCAGTGGTGGCACCTGCCCTGTGGAATGCCCTCTGATCAGATGTCAAGGAAATAAATAACTATCTGACTTTTAGAAGACATCTGAAGGCAGCTCTGTTTAAGGAAGTTTTTAATGTTTGATGTTTTATTCTGTTTTTAATCTGTTGGGAGCTGCCCAGAGTGGCTGGGGAAACTTAGCCGGATGGGCGGGATATAAATAATAAATTATTATTTTTATTATTAGAAGTTTGAATTAACTGTATATAGTTTATGGATTTTATGTTTTATAAGTTGTGCTTGTTTTTTCAATGAGTCTTCAAGCTTAGAACTGAATAAAAGCCAAATGAATAAATGCAGTGTGTGTGTGTGTGTTTGTGTGTGATGTGTCAGAATAGATACAACTTGACACACATTGGTTATTTCTTGGTTTATTTATATGAATGAGGTAGTTCCCCATTATCTGGGAAACTATTTCGAAATGCACCAAAATTTATGTCAGATAGCTTGCAGCAGAAAAATTTGTTAAATAGCATTTGGATAACTGTAACTACATGCTCAAGCCGCTCATTTTATTTCATTTTGTTTTTAATAGCTAGCTTGGTAATTTGATGTGACTTTTGTTTTCAAGGAGCTGAAACTACCATTTACATTTTTAAGTGGACACATTCATGAACTGCGCATCCACGTACCATGGACAAAGCTTGGTTCCGAGCCAGTTGTGATTACAATAAATACAATGGAGTGCATTTTGAAGCTGAAGGATGGAGTCCAGGTAAGAAAACAACACGCAATCTTTAAAAAGGCAATATATATGAACTTATTGGATTTTACAGGAACTTGGATACATGATTAGTTTCCCTACCAAAAGGCTACCATGATACTCATCTTATCCTTATGGGGTTTCCTCCTGAAAGTCATTTTCTATTGCTGTCAAGTTGTGATTGGAAGCTCAGTTTCTTCTTGATTCCACTGAATCTTTGAAGAAGGTGAAATGTGTTTCTTGCTGTAGCGATCCTTTGGACTGGCTATAATTGTTCCAGTTTTCTACTACGGTAACTAAAAATCTGGATCTCATTGTTGGAGTTGAGTACTGGCAACCTTCCAAAATGAGGAAGTGATGTAGGGAAACTAGTAGTTTTTTATTATTGTGCTTCAATATTTTCATACCAGTGCACTTACCACATTTAAAATTTGCTTTTAATTTTTATTTCAATTTTCTTCTTTGTCATCCTGGAATTGATCTTTGTAGTTGAGTTTTTTATTTTTTTTTAAAAAAAACCTTTCCCATCAATAAGTTGTTGAATGTGCAGAAGGGATGTGAGGGATGTTGAGATGGAACAACAACAAGAACTTTATTATTTGTATCCCGCCCATCCGTCTGGGTTGCCCCAGCCACTCAGGGCGGCTTCCAGTACAGTGGTACCTTGGGTTAAGAACTTAATTCGTTCTGGAGGTCTGTTCTTAACCTGAAACTGTTCTTAATCTGAAGCACCACTTTAGCTAATGGGGCCTCCCACTGCTGCTGCACCGCCACCGCACAATTTCTGTTCTCATCCTGAAGCAAAGTTCTTAACCCGAGGTACTATTTCTGGGTTAGCGGAGTCTGTAACCTGAAGTGTCTGTAACCTGAAGTGTCTGTAACCTGAAGCGTCTGTTACCTGAGGTACCACTGTATAGTGAAATAGATTCCGGTGTTGTGTAGTAGCCCAAGTTTTACTTTCTCCTAGCTGCTAAACTTTTGAACATGTGCTTTGGCACAATGGTAAACAATTATTAAAGGGTTTAAAAAATAAAAATAATACTGATTATGAAAGAAGGTGGCCAAGGAGTGGAGCCACATGTGAGCTTGGTTTAAACCAGTAATGCACAAAATTGTGTTTATTTAATGAAGTTTAAGATAGAGGTCTCTGGTACATTCCAAAAGTGGGAAAGTACCTTTCCCCTAATATCTTTCTTCAGTTCTGCTATGCAAAGCTCCTTCTACCTGTTCTGCCCACACAATCCATTTTTGTAACCCACAATAGTAAAGGGAAACTTAGTGTTGAGACGCAGTATATCTCTGAATGCAAGACATGGAGTGGGGCTGTGGAGGGAAGACTCTTGGCTTCATTCCCTTCTTGTAAGCATCCCAGAGATGCTGGGTGGTAT